GGTCTGCACATGCTAGTTATTAGATGTAATCTCCTGAAGTTTCTTCTTCCCATTTCAACAGGGAGGAATTAGCTCTCTTTTTGTGTACCTCCTGTTTTAATTTTTGTGTTTGTCAGTTTCACTGGATAAAGCTATGAGCCTATGGAAATGATCAACTTGCCTTGTTGTGGTTGCTTTTTCATACATAATACAGGACCCTTCAGTTTCAATTTAGAGAAGTATTGTACACATCCAATACATTTCCTCCGTAATATCCTCCACCTTCACAGGCACATGTTTGCACTTTCCTCTTGTTAAAATTGCAGACAAGAATAATTTTGATTTATTGGTGACATCTAATATAGCTGTGTTTATATTGTTGCCAATAAAATGACTTACATGATTGGTTTTTGTTTATACAATCTTTTCTGAGGAGTCAGTCACCTGTGTTAGGACAAGGTACATTCTGCTTATTAAAATGAACTCTTAGGATCTAAGAACATTCAGCTCTATCTGTTCTTGATTTAATGCAGAATGTGCTTCACACTGTACCTATGCATGAGAATAACATATTATTTATCAATAGGCTTTTCATTTCTATATTCTTCTGGCTACAAAAGCTGCAACAAGAGAAGCCCGTGGGAATAACACAGAGCTATTAAACGATCAAGGCAGAGGAATTGAAAAGGCAGTGTTAATGAAATTATACAGTCATTAACCCAAAGGGAAAAACGAAAAGAATCAATGAGAACTCTATTTTAGGTGGACTATCTGTATATGTGTACATATATATGGAGCAGTTTGCTGACCTGTGTTTCATTATCAGGTTTGCTGTGCAGGGGAAGAAATACTTGTGGCATAAGGAATGGAAAATATAACAAAGGCTAAATGTAGCCTAAGGAAATGAAATGATGTATGAAAATTAATAATTAACTGGCTCATCAGATGAATTATGACTCTAGATGAGTCTATTAATGATATTTACTAAGAAAGGGCCTTCGGCTGTAGATAGGTATTATGGAACTTGTATTTTTGGAATTTTCTTGAATGGATGAGTTAATATTGCTTCAAAAGGAGCAGTGCCTAGAGCCCTGGGTAGAAGGTAGAGTCATGATGTTATATTTTGATTAAAGTCGTGCTTTTCCAGAAAACCAGTGGAGTTATTAGATGGTTTTGTGCCTTCCTTTCCTTGGGGGGTTAAGTCATTTCCTCTCTGACGTGATTTACAGGAGTGTTTTAAGAATTTGAAAGTAGTCAAAAGTAGAGATTTATTAACTCTTATGTTGACTCATTAGCAGAGCGAACATTTTCATTGTGTCAACCAACAGAGTATGTGTCAACGTCAGATCCAGAATATTCTAAATTTATTATACTTTGGTTGCTCCTTCTTTCTTTTCTCTCTCCCTTCCTCCCTCCCCTTCCTCTCCTCCCTCCCTCCCTCCCTCCCTCCCCCTTCCCTCCCTCCTCCCAGCTTAGGGTAGAGTAGTTGGGTAGAATGCAGATAAGAAAATGCTGGAAATTCAGTCAAATTTTTAAATACAAAGAGTATCTTCCAATTGAATTGTACTAATTACATGTTTGATTCTACTCTTTGTAAAGTGCAAGTTTAACCCTCAGTTCATTTTCCCTGTTTGATGTCATTCTGAGCATTGCTTGTGCGAGAGCTTCTTATGTGCTGTTACTTGGTTAGAGTTTGTAGAGGTGTTGTTATTTTTGTTGCGTCTATTCAGTCCCCCTAGATTTAAATACACAAAGGCTATGTATTTCTTTTCTTGATTATAGTAAGTGGATATTTTAATACTCTTCCTTACCCATATTATCCAGATTAACAAAATCTCAAGAAACCATAGTGATTATATTCAACTCCTCAGTCTTTTGTGAATGAAAAAAACCCCAAACAAACCGAAGTTATTAGTGGTTTGTCAACAGTAGACCTCAGATACCGTGACTTATTGAGTGCTCTTTTCACTCTGACTCTATGAGCATGTGTCTCTCTTAAATGGAGCAATTGATTTTGTTTTTTGAGAGAAGGTCTTGGTATATGGAATTCAATTTGGCTTTGAACTCTATGTAGCCCAGGTAGCCTCAAACTCACTAGGCTCCTCCTTCCTCAGCCTCCTGAGGTCTAGGATTATAGGTATATACCCACTGATTCTTTTTTATTGTTGTTGTTTTGAACTTAGAATTCTGTGCTGAATATATAACTTAACCAAAAGACATGCAAAAGTATTATGATATGAACAAACAAAATTGAATTTTACATTTTGTTATCTAGTGCTTGAAAAATTCATTAGCATAGTTAATATGAAAAACTACAATTTTAGGCACATTTTCCGTATTTTCTTTTCTGTCTTGAGCCTGGCTTTGCTCAGCTCACATGACCTTGCCCTATTGGTTTTTCATGATGGTATTAAACACTTTATTTTCTGGATGCTGTTTTCTCAGTAGTAAAACTTAAGTACATTTTGTTGTTGATTTTACTTTCAACCTAATACTATTTAAAACAGGATTGTACTTTATAAAAAATAAAATACCCAGTACAAGGCAGACAGGTGTGGATGCCTGATATCTCATCAATTTCTCAGGACTTTATTTTTCTTTCTTGCAGACTCACCTTTTTAATGGTTGAGCTTCACGCTAAGCACTTACTTACGTGTTTTTATCCACATCTTTGATGAGAATTCCTGCTTGTATATTATCTTGCTGCCAAAAATGACTCCCTTATTTTTAAAAACCTGGAAATAGGCAGTCTGGAAATCTGCAGACACTTGTCACTTGGACCATGGTCTTAGTGACTCATATTTCCAGTCATGTTGAACACTTTTTCATTTTCAAAGAATAGCCAGTGTGACATATTTCTTTGCCCTTTTTTGGTGGGTGCTGAATTAGTACTTTCTTATTCAGGGTTCAGAGGGCTCAGAAAACAATATTTTATCAGTGAAAGGAGACTCGATGGCTAATTTTATCTGGCAAAGCACAGACTGTAAATGCCTCTTGCTCACGATTAACCAGTGAATGAATCAACAGGCTGACTGGCACTGCACTCAAGTTCTACATGGACCCAGTGGAAGAGGCCCTGGAAGCTTTCCAGTGTGAAAAAGAATATGACAACCAGTGTGATTTCAGGGTCTTTTTCTTATTGTTCCATAAAAAAACTGAAAATGTGGAGGTGTGGCTCATCGGGACCCACTTGTCCATTCAAGGAATGGAGAACAGGAGAGCAAGAGTAACCCTGGTACAGATTGGTGCTGTGGATTGTCTCCTAAGATTGCTGGGTGGCAGGAGAGTGTTTAATGTCAAAGACAAAAAATTCTAAACACACACACACATACACACACACACACACACACACACACACACAGAGTCTGTCTCACTGAGTACCAAGTTGTCTAGATTCAACTCAAACTTGGGATCGTCCAGCCTCTTGCTAACTGGAGCTACAGCGTCGTGCCACCACACCTGGGTGCTAATTGTATTTGACGCCCTTCAGCATAGGCACGCATGGTACACTTTGCAGCAGGCATAGTGAGCGCTTGACTTGAAACAATTAAAAACTTTTTTTAATCATTTATTTATTTGGTACAGGGTCTTGCTGCACAGCTTGGACTCGTAGTGATCCTCCTGTCTCAGCCTCCCCTCTGGTGGGATTACAGGCACGTGCCACTACACCTGGTTTCGGTGGCCAGCACTGTGTGCCCAGGGTTCCAGGGCCGGCACAGCATATGGTACCAGGGATTGGACCTGTGCTTTCTAGGCAGGCACTTAGACTGCTGACCTATCTCCCCAGCCCAAAACTTAATCTTGTTGATTTCCTAAAATGATAAAAGAAAAAGTTCTTCACAAAATGTTTTTCCCCCTCAATATACTTTCTTTAATGGTATATAGGGTCATTTGGGAGTTGAGTTAAAAATATTTTTACAACCTTGAACAGATAATATAAAAACATCCCCAAAAGCTGTCTAAATGAAGATACCCAGCATGACTGCTTTGCACTCAGGCCTTGTTGCATGTGTGGGGCTTGGCTTCTTTCCATGCTGGTCATGCCCAGATGAAAGAAAGGCTGTGGGTGGCTTCTGCCATGCAGGTGGGGAAGTGGCACTCCTAGAGCACTTGGCTACCCATTGTACTTCGGGGAGCAGCTGGTCGAAGAAGGGAAGGATCTCCTTGATGTTTTAGGGTCCTGAGGACTGAATTCATCACCTATGGGTGGATGATGGTGTCCGGTGGTCCCATCAGAGTCTTTCGGTTCTCCCATAAGCAGCATCTTGGGGCTGTGGCTGAGCAACAGCATACAGTATGGCGCATGGTGAATGAATGCATAGCTTACCTTTAGGAGGGCTGTTCTGTCCTCATGCTTTCTACCATGTGCAACTGAGTCTCTAATACTACTGTGAATATTTAAATATTAGGACGTGTAAAACCTTTGTAACTTTTCCCAGGCTATTGAGTGCTACTGAGTGTCTCCCAGGACTGCTGGATAGCATGATAATATTTAATGTCAAAGACATTTGTAAATCTAGGGTCTATGAAAAGCTTCATCTTAGCGGGAAAGTGAGAGATGGTATAATGTCCCTGTTATTCCCTCTAGAGGCTAGGTCTGGTTTTTTGATGGTTTCCTGAGGCCTATGGAGCACTGGCCTCATAGCTCATGAAGGTAGTGCTTTTTGTTTCCCAGGAGCTGCTGCAAAAAGTGAGCTCATATGGACAGATCCTTTAGGGATCAAAGTAAGTTTAATTTTGCAAGCTGGCACTGCTAGATTAGTTGCAGTTGCAGGAGCACCTATTGAGAAGGGCTCAGCAGCAAACAAAACAATAGGGAGATCCAAAAGCCATGTCTCCTACAAATGTAGAAGGGGAGGGTGTCTGCCAATGATCCATGTATTTCATGACCTTGTTCTATGTAAAAAACCATTTTGCTAAGGGTTCTTCTGTTCTTGATATGAATGCTACACAAGTTGAAAACTCTGTACTTTATTTTCATTTTTACTCTTAAAATTGCCTGCATTTATTTTTTTAAACAGGCTTATAACCCACACCATGGATAACTTATTGGACTTTGCCTGAAAGGAGTCAGTAGTGCCACTGGATATTTGACCATCCTGGCCACAGGTTTTTCAGGATGAATGGAAGGTCACGCAGCATGAGTCTTCACCATACGTCGGGAACCCCACAGGGGCCTGGGATGGTCAGTGGCCAGCATATTCCTCCCAGCCGAACCCACTCAGGGACTCCTGGCCCCTCATCTTGGGGCAACACACCGAGCCCCACTATTGGAAGCCTTTCTAACAGCCTGCATCGCAAGATGCCCTTGGGAGGAGGGATGGTTCTGCAGCACAGTGTGGCTGAGAGCCCCATCCATCTGCCCGCTCTGAGCCCCAGGAGACAAGTGCTCGCCAGTGAGAAGCTGAGATTCCAGGTCGCCCAGCCTGGAGGCATGTCAGGGACACACACTTTAAAGCCAAAGCAGCAAGAGTATGGAAGTCCTTTTCCTCCAAATCCTGGGAAAGGTAGGATTGTCTTTTTGGGATCTTTTAAAAGTGCAAACTATTTTTTTTTCATCCTCCTTGTCCCTTCCTTGCCAGTAAATTCTATAGAAAAGCATGTAATTCCATGTCAGAGTCAAGTTCACTGTCTCATAATGATACACAGTTTGCCCATTCAGGTTGTGTGTGTGTATTTGTGTGTGTGAATGCTGGGCACAAGTGTGGGTATCTCATCGGACTGTGAAACAGAGTGAAGGCAAAAATAGGAAGATCAGAAGTAGAGAAGAGGAGCAGGTAGTGGTCCTCCCTACAAATGTCTTGCCCTCTGGGTACATGGAGCTTGGACTATGGGTCATGGATGAGAGGATTGACGGACTGTCATTGATGCTAGTGTTAGAAATGCAAGAAGAAAGGTTACGTTCAGAAAGAAAAGGGTAAACAGTGAGGAATTTTACTAACATAAAGAAGAATTGGTATATATATAATATATATGAATAAGTTATTTTCTGAGCAAACCCTGTAGTTTTTACACTATAACTACTAACAAGGGAGAAGAAAGCTAGGAAAGACTAGTGAAAAGGTATGTTTTGTACTTGTGAAGAACTGGGAAACCTAGTTAACCTGAAATGCAGAGAGAATGCACTTTCTTAACTCTATAATTTTGCATTGCATATATTTTAAATGGGAGCATAGTAGTCGGGAAAGAGCAAACTAGTTGAGCGATGCTGTCCAGAAGCTGGTGCCGACTTTACGAAGTGACGTGTTGCGGATGCTGTGTGTATTTTGGCTGCAAGTAGAAAGAGGTGTATATTGTATAAAATATAATATAGTTTTCTTATGCAAAATTGGAAATTATATATTCCGTAAAGTCTTTTAGATTTAGTTCTTAGTGTTTGCATTAAAAGCACTTACACTATCAAACAGTGTTAATTAACAATCTTCCTAATAACCACTCACCTGGTTAATTAAAGTGAATAAATTATTTATATCAGATAAGTACACCATCAGTCATTTGTCATACACTGTGTATTTTTGTTTATGGAGGAGTTGGTATACATGGAGGAATTTAAAAAACCAACATAACCCTAAACATTCATGTAGCTTTTTAATTTTTCTTTTTTGTGTATTAATATTTAGTCTAGGTTTGGTCTTGAGTTGTTTTGTTTCCTAGAGGTATTGATGCTTAATTTAGGAAACAGTTTCCCTGGGAGCTATCTCTGAAGTAGCTATGTTGTGGTTAGGTTGCTATGCCCATGGCTTGTCAAGCTGAGTTCTTAATATCAAACCTAAGTGTTTAAATTTCAGGGGTGGGGGCCCATTAAAATCTTTCTGCTCATGCTTGACCAGTGATCGGTAGCTTGATTTTATAGTTATTTGTGTTTTCAAGCCTGACTGAAAGTAATAGTGATGATAATATTAATAACTTGCATTTGTTATATCATAACAGTATGCATCAAGTTATATGTTGAGTTCTTTCCAGTACATACTCTTAGTGATTGGTCAAAGCCATCCCAACTTGTATGCTCTGGTTGATTTAACTGATAAGAAAATGAAGACCTAGAAAGAATAAGTAACTCTGGAAACACCAGCCAGTAAGGAAGTACTTTGATACCAGAGGACACTACAATTATGATCATGGCTAAAAAAACTGGTTCAGGTACTTAAGGAATAGGTAACTCTCAGGGTCAATACACTTTGGAATGCATATAAAAATAGTGCTGCTTCCTGATTTCCTGCTCTATGACCTTCTGGTTCAGCTTGTTAGTGTACATACAGTGTGGGTTCTGGATCAATATGGTTGGGGCATTCATGGGCACAGATAAAGAATTAAATACACTATTATTAGCCCTCCTGTCCCTACAGCTTGGATACCATCAGTGGCCCAGATGAAGTCAGAAATAGCTTAAGGTGTCCTTTTCGGATTTTGGTTGACTATTCCTACATTATTAACCATCAGCCAGTAACTGTTGGTTTAGGACTGTGTGCACTTTATCTGATCATTTACTCAACAAAACGTTCCTGAGCATGATGCATGAGCCACCATTTTGGGGACACAATAGCCATTAAAACATAGTCCTTGCCTTCAAGATGATGGAGATTCAGACAAATATATATGGCAGCTAAAGCATAATAAAAGCTCAGATAGGATACACTCTGAGTACTATGGCAGCCTTAGAAAAGGGTTTCTGCCTGTGCTTAGTAGGTGGATCTGGGAGGTCAGTAAGCTATTAAGGCAGAAAGGTGACTAGTGAGGAGGTAGCCATGCAGTAGTGCAGAGTGTATGTCCTGTGTGTGTGAGTATGAGTATGTGCATGGAATAAGTGTGCATGAAGGCTTTGTTCAGAACATATTCTAGATAGGGAGAAAAGCACACTCAGAACTTCATTAGAGGGGAAAATGGAGTAACTCCAGAATTCTACGTGATTTATATAGATTTTTTTTTTTGATTTATATAGATTGATTGATGGTGCAGTGACTGCTTAGGAGAAAAGGCTGGAGAGGAACAAGCAGAAAGTGGGCGAAGAGTCATGAATTATATACCAAGGAGTTTGGCTCTGCCTGACAATGTTGGCAGAGCATGTGACTCTAGGAGTAGTATTTAGTTAGGGCTTTGCAGAAAAATAGAACTAACAAGATATCTATGTTTGTATGTATATGTGTGCATGTCCTATAAAAAATGACTCATGAGATTATGGAGGTTGTTAAATCCTAAAAATCTGCAGAGTGGGTAAGCTGAAACGCTGAGAAAGTGGAAGGTGAATTGAGTCAGAAGGGCTTGTGAACCAGCAGAGCTGATGGTGGAGGCTCTGTTTTGAAGGCTGGCAAGTTCAAGACTCAGGAAGACCCAGTGTTTCGGTTTGAGTCCAAAGGTGGGCAAAAAGCTGCTGTCCCAGTTCAGAGGCAGTCAGGCAGGAGGCGTACTGTCGTTCCCGGGAAAGACTCAGCCTTTTATGCTCTTCAGGCCTTCAGCTGGTTGGGTGAGGGTCATGCACATTAGGTAGAGCAATCTGCTTTGCTCAGTCCACTGATTTAAATGTTAACCTCTTTTGAAACCATCACATCAGAAACACTCAGAATAATTTTTGGCCAAATATTGGGGCAACCTGGAGCCCAGTGAAGTTCATGCATAAAATGAACCTATAAAGTGAGGTATCATTGTTTAAGGGCAACGTACAATTTACAGGATGGATAAGAACGTGTATTTTCTGAGCCTTGAGAGTGAGTATAGCAACTCTTAACATGGTGGAGCTGTGAGCAGAGAATTTAAATTGGGGATTGTTACATCAGCAGGCATCTGACTTAAAGACTGGAGAATCTAGTGGAAGCCTTGTGGGAAGTATACGTTGGACGGTAGGGCCTGCATTCCTTGAAGATCGAGCTCTGCTCAGTTGAAAATGCTGGTGACAGTGGCTTTCACATCATATGGTGAGCTTCCCAGACGGTGCATCAAGATCACTGAGGTGTCACACAAACTCAGGGAGTCTTAGGACATTTAAAATTTTAAATGTGGCGACATGTGATATCCTTTGAACAGCAGGCAAATGACTAGCTTGAGATTGACAGTTTCAGTGGTGAATCACACAATATTCCCTTTATCTTTGCAAAGATAAGTTTTCAGTAGTTGTGGTTTTTAAAAAACAAATATTTTCTATGCCCATGTTCATGACAGCATTATTTGTAATAGCCAAAAATCAAAAACTAGTTTCCTTCATTGGATAAGGATAAAAAAGGTCAGTCTCTATCTCTGTATCTTTATCTACATCTCTATCTATATTGGAGTGTTGTTTAGTGTTTAAAAGGCAACTTCATATGTTATAATACAGATGAACCTTAGTAAGTAACAC